AAAAAAAAAAAAAACAGAAAAAAAAAAAAAAAACAGAAAAAAAAAGTTTGAGCCTTACCCTGTGAATAGAAATGACAGAGCTAAGTCAGAGAAACAGCCGGTTTCGAAGAGCCGTGCGTGTTGAAGAATCATTTGGTTTACGACGACAGCATGACACCACAATGCAGAGCTTTTCTAGTGTCTACCATCTTTCACTGAATGTAACATACTACTATCATTATCACTGCATCTAGACTGAAAGTTGCCCCACATACAGATCTAATCACTATATGATATATAGACCGAAAGTTGTTTCCCACTGAAGTGTGGAGCGGCATTATGTGCACTCCACTGTTCCGTCAATAATAGCGACTAAGAAATTAGCATTCCTCCCCTGGGGGTCTGGTCCCATCAGCGACGAGGATTGGATTTCATTCCTGAATCTGGACGTGTTTCTGGAGAGATGCAGAGAGTGAGACCTCCCCCTGGGGGTCTGGTCCCATCAGCGACGACAATTGGGTTTCATTCCTGAATCTGGACGTGTCTCTGGAGAGATGGACAGAGTTCCAATTGGGGTCTACTTTTCTGCATCCCAGCACAAAACACATCCAGATTCAGAAATTAAACCCAATCCTCTTTGCAAATGGGGCCATGAGACTTCCCCTGGGGGTCTGGTCCCATCAGCAAAAAGACAATTGCATTCAATTCCTCAATCTGGACGTGGTTTCTGGAGAGATGCAGAGGCTTGCCATTGGTCTACTCTTCTGCATCCCTCCACAAAACACATCCAGATTCAGATATTAAACCCAATCCTCTCTGCCAATGGGACCAGGCCCCTGGACAGTTCGGTCCTCAAACCTTTCAGTGGGCTGTAGTTCTCTTCTTCTCACCTCTCCGCTATGGCAAAGGTCACTTTTTTTTTTTTTTTTCCTTTTCTTAAGTTTTTTTCTTTTCCTGTTCTTTTTGGGGAAAAAAAGTCACAGCTTTAGAAAAAAAAGTCACAGCTTTAGAAAAAAGAAAAGTCACAGCTTCAGGAAAAAAAAAATCAGAGGGAAAAAAAGTCACAGCTTTAGAGAAAAAAAAATCCAAGGACGTCCAGAACAGACCAACACACTGCGACCGTGGCAATTTGTCCGCTCAATGCTCACAGAAATACAGCCCAACTGCAATCACCTCTCTCTTTCCAAACTTAATGAAACAACAGATAATCCTTGAAAATATACTACTTTCTGTCTTGTTGTCTCATCATCATCATCATCAACTGAACTGGCAGACTATGCTACCCAACCCCCCTCCTTTCACATCAGTCGACCACCCCCTTGCCAACAGCAACATAAATTTACACAGTCACTTCAAGAAGACTCCCTCAGCAACGTTCTAAATGAGTGGATCAGGTATCTGTAGCTTGAAAACGTCAGAGAGGAGGTGGGAGCGCCATAACTTAACCACACCCCTTCAGAATGAATGAGCCGACAACATACACGAACGGACGGATTTCTTCTTCACACTTCTCACTGCTGTCATCCCTCTCCTGACGGCCTTTATCTTTGTCTGCCTCCTTGACACCAACACATAGAGAATACTCTCTCCGTGCTCCATTTTCCATAGCAAAAAAGCATCAAGCAATCTCTCTCTCTCTCTCTCTCTCTCTCTCTCTCTCTCTCTCTCTCTCTCTCTCTCTCTCTCTCTCTCTTGAGCGTACGCGCGCTTGCTCTCACTCTCCTGCTCTCGCTCGCGCCTCAAACATATACGGAATGAGTCGCATGCCATGGACTTTGCCATCCTCTTGCCTCTCCGCTCCCAGACAGGAGCAAACACAGTGAGGCGTATAGGTCGAGACTTTTCCGACCTTAACTTTTTTAGAGGATCTGGGAACACTTTTGGACACAAGATGAGAACCATACTTCAGTGAATCAATCAATGGCCGAGCAACTCAAGATCGCTGCCAAATCACCGGCTGAGCAACTCAAAGATGGCCACCAGCTGCTTATTGGAAATGGACAACCCACAAATAAAATAGAGGGGTACACAAAACCCCTCGTAAGCTCTCGTTGTGGTGATGCCCATTCCTCGTCTATCAGCGAGCAAAAATGCACAACACCTCCAAAGCAAGCCGGCTCCTCTGTCGGCGAGCAAACACGCACACCTCCATATCAGCGCATTGTGCTGTCACAAGCCTTCTCCCTCTTCGCAAGATCGAGTGTACTCCTTCACACACACTTCGCCCTCAAGACAACGGAGACACGACATATGGAACCTGATTGCTTCCGTTGCCACATACCTGTAGGGTAACTGAGCAGCCCTGTCACATGTACAATAGCCCTCCACACTCCCTGTGCAATGCTCTCTCTTTTTCTCTCCCATGAAAGCGAGCTCAGCAATGTCAATTTGCAGTCGCAACCCTGAGTTGCTGCTCCAGGCACAGTTCCTAGGATGACACTCTCACTCACATACTCTCTCTCCCTCCCTCCCTCCCTCCCTCCCTCCCTCTCCCTCTCTCTCTCCCCCCCTCAGGGACTGGGGTGGAAATGACGTTTAACTAAGTCCGGGCAGCAAAACCACAACAACAACCCCACAAAAGGTCACGAAGTAGGATCTAGACTTCTCTCTTTCTATATCTACAACCCCCGACTCTCTCTCCCCTCCTTCAAACAAACATGACTTCTACCTCCGCTCTCTGTTGTTTCTCTCTCCAGAGTCCCTTCTCTTAACTATACCCGTTGTGACTTGTCGAACTTGACGTAGCGCCCCTTGCCCGTGTCAAACAGGTTGCAGTTGTTCAGAATTGTAGACATGAGAGGGATCCCAAAACGTGCCTTGTTGAGGTATTTATTCCAGTTCTCTTCCAGCGATGCATGCGCTTTCCTCAGGTTGTAGCTAGGAATCTTCGTGGAGAGGTGGTGAGGGATGTGCACGCTGATATCGTGGCACAGAAACTCGATCCTGCACAGACGTCAGCCAAGACCCAAGACCACAATACCAACATCACCACCACCACCACCACAACAACAACAACAACAACAACAGCAGCAGATTCCACCTCGTCAAAAAATGAAATCCAGCAAACATTGCAAAAAAAGAAAATAAAAACGGCCTTTCATTTCCCAATCAAGAAAACCAGAAATTGACCGACAACCAAGTCACAACAACAAAGAACAGCGAACACAAAAAAAAAGGAAGCAAAAACAGCAAAAACAGCAAAAACAGCAAAAACAGCTAAAACAGCTAAAACGGCAAAAAACACAACCACCAATACAAGATTGGACCTCGTCAAAAAAAAATGAAAGCAGGCAAAGATTTCCAAAAAAAAGAAAGAAATCCAGCAAATAATAAAGTTGAAAATGACCTAGCAAGAAAAAGATGGTCTGTCTCTGCCTTGGGAAGTTTCAGGTGGAGGCTGCACATTATTACGTTCTGATGTGTACACTGTGCAAATCTTTCTCGCATGTTTTGTCTCACGGCACATCCAAACTCCATCATTCTAAAAAAAAAAAAAAAAAAAAAAGCTCTATCATTCTCCTGTGGTTTGTCTCATGCCACWTCCAAACTYACCTAGKKTTGTKKWCTYAWTTGTTTKTTTTTTTTTCTTTCCTTTTTCTTTTTCTTTTTCTTTTTCTTTTCCTTTTTCTTTTTCTTTCTCTTTTTCTTTTCCTTTTTTTTTGTTGAAAATCTGGGCAGGGCTTGCTGGCAGGAGCGATACGAGCATCTCCTTCACTACATTTCAAATCACCGTCCAGCTTCAGCGAAGGGAAGGAGGAGAAGAGGGGGACCACCACTACTTCTGAACAATGTACTAAATGTAGCCTCAAATCTAGTGATGTTCATAAGGAAGGGGGGGGGGGGGACCACTACTTCTGAACAATGTAGCCTCCAATGTTCTCCTGGCTACATTTCTTCAACGAAGGGAAGGAGGGGGGGGTGGGGGGACCACCACTACTGAACAATGCGTAGTCCTATCAGCTGCCACCTTCATGAGAATAGAACACTTGAGGTGCCCATAGCTGTACTCGATGCAACTTCCATCCCAGATACAGCTCTACTGACCGGGCTTTCTTTTCATGCGAAGACAGGAGCACCTGTCTATGCACAGCTTCTGATCTGCTGTTTACTTTGCTTCCATCAATCAACCGTGCTTTATCTACACCCCGTAATAAATATCACATTCATGCAACATGCGGAAATGAGCAGGGCATCCTACGTACGCAGAGTCTCTACATGGGGTTTTAGCACCCCCAAAGGAATCCTAATCTGGTCCCCACTAATCACATTCACATCGAATTCACACCCCCAAATGAATCCTAATCTAGTGCCAATTAATCACATCGACATGTGGTTTGACACCCCCAAATGAATCCTAATCTACTCCCAACCAATCAAATTTTGTTTCTCATTACCAAAGCAGGTCAGCTGGCAGTGTGACATCCTGTCCCCCCCTCTCTCCCTCAACCCTTTTCCCCCTCAATCCCCCCCCCCCCCCCCTCCTCCTCCCAACCCTCCAACACACAAACCTTCCTTCCTCCCTCCCTTCCTCCCTTCCTCCCTCCCTCCCTCCCTCCCCCCCTCCCCTCAAGCATTTCCTTCTTTAAACATATGAGGATTGCTGGACTTACCACGAAGGATAATCGCAGTGGACGGTTCCTCCAAGCTGTGCCTTGGTCTGATTCCACTCTCTTGCACCCTTGAATGGAATATGAGGTGCAGTGTGATGAACCAGAGTGAAAGTGCTCATCCAGAAATGGAAACCCAGGAAGGGAAGAAACCACCACTTCACAAATCCTCCGACTCCTTGGGTGACCAGCAACGGGACAAGAACGAATGCAGCGAAGGCCGCAACTGCAGCAAGGCTCACCTGCGCACAAGAACAAAAAGGGAGAGAAGGAGAAGGAGAAGGAGAAGGAAGAAGGAAACAAACACATGAATCAAGAAAAGTGGTTTCCAATCGCGTAGCAAAAAAAAAAAAAGTTGGGATTGCTTGAGTTACACAGACATCATCATCCCCACGACCAGCAGGCACTCAATAAAATAAAGAATCATATTAAACCACCAGTACCTTTGGCGTCCGGTTTCGACAAGTCCTGGCCAGTACCCGAACTTTCAGGAGGCCAAGCCCAACGTTGATCAATCTGATCGGCGGCCGTCATTTTCAGCCTCCTGAAAGGTCGGCTTGTAAACAACAGCCTCAAGCAAGTCATAACTCCAAAGAATCGACAAAACTCTCACTGATCATTACTCGTCTTCTCATCATTACTCTGCAGACAGGACGAGGATGTGTCAGAGGGTTGAGAGAGAGAACCTTCTCTCTCTCTACTTCTTCTTATTCAGTTCGATCCCGTCACACATGGGATGGGAGGAGGCTCCACGGAAAACAATGTGTACTCCCTGCATCCTGTGGCTGGGTCTTGCACAGAAGAGACTGTTAAGAACAGACACACACAAGTTATAAACAATCCTGATGGCTACACTGCCGTCAGGCGCTATAAATAGATATATGTGGTTACTCTATGGCCGAAATGTGCACAGATATCATTGTAAAACATAGATCACAAATTCGAATCAAATCATTTAGATACAATAGCGCATTGGTTGTGTTATAAATAGATGAGTGCATTTACAGAGTCCTAACATCCATCCACTCTATGGGAGTGTGCACACTTGTCACAGCTTGCTCTATTTTCTCATTTGTAACCCCCTCCCTATCATCCACGCAGGTTTCAATGTCTCCATCAGGTACACGGTCGCAGGTTGTAGACAGTCAGATTTCAGGTAAGAAAATTGTGGATAAGAACGTGGGATAAGATTGTAGATAAGATTGTGGATACGATCATGGAATAAGATCGTGGATAAAGATTGTGGATACGATCATGGAATAAGATCATGGAATAAGATCGTGGATAAAGATTGTGGATAAAGATTGTGTGGATAAAGATTGTGGATAAGAGCAGAGAAGATTCGGGAACTCGTTATATAATGACATTTTTTTTTATTTTTTTTTTACTTACAATAACTTTTTGCTTCTCCTGCGGCCTGTAGAGGTTGAGGTCAAAGTGCCACTGGTACCAATGTCCAATGGAGGCAATCCACCATGTCGGGCCGAGAGCAATCTTCATCGCGAATCGCTGAATAGGGCTCCCTCGGTCATACTGGAAAGGACGGAATGGTTGCCAAGCAGTGTCCTCAATCAACCTGCATCACCCCCCCCACCCCCACCCCCACCCCACCACCACCAAATGGATGATGACCCACACATAGAACAGCGAAACTCCGTCACCCACAAGTCACACCCATAAAATGGCAAAACTTCGTCACTCACAACTCAACCAAACTTTAGGACGGCCACTCAGAGCAGTTCACCATCTGCTGAATGGCACCTGGATTTAAACTTTGGCCAGATTCATACTAGATGGCATGAACTTTCTCCTCCAAGACGGCTCATGTTGCTTTCAAGGACTCCTATACGGACCAGGTTCTTGCTAACTTATAGCAGCGATAGCATACCAGTTCTACCTCCGATTGTGTGTTTGATAAGGCATACTCACACTAGCACTTTCCAGAATGCATCCGACTGCAATTTCGGCCAGACCTGGATGAACCTGACTGCAATCACGTCCAGAGCTTAGTCAAAGAAGTCGATGCAGCCCCAGATATTCCAAGCAAATTGCAACAAAGAATTCTTTACCCCATCCCTATAAAAATTATAAATTCAATTCCGATCTCTTCCAAAACGAATTCAACGAAAAGTCTAATTAATAATTATTAATTATTCATTTGAGAGCAATTGACTATTCGAGCAGGCGAGCGGCTTGACTGACTCCTAAATATTTTTTGGATCTAATATTCAACAACCGGATTTCAGAAAGCGCCAGTCGAAGCTTGAAACTCTACTCAACAAACAGTGAAACTGGGAGAGAGACCAGATTCACTGTTTCTGATCTGGGAGAGAGACCAAGAAAAAAACAATCTGCGATGCACAAGGCCTCGATAAACTCACCAATCCACTTAAACAAAAAGTGCAGAAGTTATGGGAGCTGCTCTACTTACCTCTGGTAAACAAAAGGGGAAACAAATAAAAAAAAGGGGGTCGGAAAAAAAAAAAAAAAAAAAAAAAAAGGTACCTGGGACCAACCTCCTTGGATATTCCCATTGTGCGAGATCATATGCGACCACGTAGTTATCAGTGTGGGTCTGATGGGGGTATTGCACCCCCAAATCCACCCCCAAGTTATCACATGCCTGTTTAACTATTGCACCCAAATTGTGGCCCCAATCATCTATGGCAGAAAGGCTAAACAAATTGACAAATAAATTGAAACAATTATTAAAAAAAAAAATGGATAAAGGAAAGGAATGTGACGGACCAATCAAACCACTTACTTGTTGGTGTGAGCGTGATGGGTGTTGTGCTTGATTCTCCACGGCTCGAAGGGGTAGATAAGAGGCGCCATCATGACGGTCCCAACAATGTCGTTCACCAACTGGTTGTTGGAGAAGGAGTTGTGCCCACAATCATGTCCGATGACGAAGAGACCCGTGACCGCAGTGCCGAGGTATGCATACACAAAAGGGTAAAGGTACCAAGGAGAGACAGCAAGGAGCGCATAACCAAGTGCAACGGACCCCAGGGTGACAGCAACGTTCTTCCACGCCTTGAAGTTATCGACCTCGAACACCTGAGAGCACCACCAACAGTGTGGACAGGCAAGAGACCCATGGACAAACAACCCACAGTTAATGGGCCAGCCATGTTTTCACATGCGGTGCAGGTGGGCAAGAAACCCATGGACAAACAACCCACAGTTACGAGGCCAGCCATGTTTTCACATGCGGTG